GTTAGAGATCATCAGTTGCCGGTCTGCCAGATAGTTGTCCAGAACTTGATAGATATTTCTTGGGCACTCTCTGAGGGCCTGCCTGATGGCAGGCCACCAGAGGGTATCGAACGCACTTTGCAAATCTATCGATATAAAAGCCGTCTGGTAGCCCTGCGATTTGTTCTGAATTATGACTTCATGGATTCGCTGCAGGGCATGAGTGGTAGTAGAACTGCCTTGTTTGAAGCCAAATTGTCTTGGGCTAATGCTTTGGTATTGATGTAGATGAAATTTTAGCCTGTTGACGATGAGCTTCTCGTAAATCTTTCCCATCGCCGACAGAAGGCAAATTGGCCTAAAGGAACTCGATACTAGGGGGTCTTTATCCTTTTTTAAAAATAATACCACATTGCCTTTTTTGAAAGCTGTGGGGAATATTTTATAATGCAGAAGCTGGTTGTAGTATTTATGGAAGTAGGATGGTCGTGCCTGATATGCAACTTTGATAATTGCGTAATCGAGTCCGTCTGGACCCGGGGCCTTTTTTAGTGGCAGATACCGGAAGATATTACGTATCTCCTGTGCAGAAAACTGTATATCGTTCGGTGTGCATGGCGAGCTTGTATCTTCTCTAATTTGCCTCTGTTCTGAAGTATCTGCTTGTGTATCATCTGTGGGAAAGATAGCATTTAAAAGTTCCTTGGCGGTGGAGGCCGCTACGTCCATAGTATGTGGTGCTGTTGGTTGAACTGGTACTTGCGCTGGTTGGAAGATCTTCTGCGTTGCCAGTTTGTGTAAAATTCCATATGGATTACTGTTACTGGTGCAGAAAGATCTCCAGCTGTTAATTTTAGCTTCAAGAATTGCTTTCTTGTAGGCGGCCCTTTCTTGCCGAAAGGCCGTAAGGATGTTGGAAGCTACAATTTCGTTGGTAGCAGATCTGAGGCGGCGGCGCAGAGCTCTGCACCTCTGTTTCATCTCTCTCAGTCTTCCCGTCCACCAGGATATGCCTTGGAGTTTTTTGGCGGTCCTTGTAGGGAGGATCTGCTGACATATTTGTCTGAGTAATGACAGAATGTGGTCTGTGTAATCATCCAGTTCTTGGGGGTTGGTAAGCTCTTCTAGTATGTCTTCTTCTCTGATGAGCAGCTCCTGAAAGGCATTCTTCAGTCGTCGTATCTTTCCGCCCGGTAGTTTGAATCTCTGGAGGATATTAATGCTGGCTTCAAGTGTTAGTGTGAAGTGGATGTATCGATGATCTGAGTTACTCTCATCATCTAGAACATCCCATGAGCTAAAGTTGTTGGCAAAATTAGCAGTTGAGAGTGTAAGATCAGGCCATCCTTTATGATAGGTATTGTCATAGGTTGGTTGTGCCCCTTGACTATTATGTAAATGTAGATCGTGACAGGCCATAAAGTCTTCCATGTCTCGCCCTTTAGGCGTTGTGTCTTGGTAGCCCCATATAATATTATGTGCATTGAAATCTCCTCCAACGACGTGAGGTACTGTTGGGCATTTCTGTTTCACTCGTATAAAGTTGCAAGTCACATCCGTAAGACCTTCCGTGGGCGGGGAGTAGACGGAGGTTAGGAGGAATTGCTGCTCTTCAAAGATGACTAGAATAGTAACGAAGTCTCTTTCTGTGGTTACTATGTATGGAGACCAGGAGGGGTTGCAGCAGACAATGGCTGCCCGTGGTGCTTGTTCTGCATTGGCTTTCTTCTGAAAAATTTTCCATGCCAGTGGTAGTCTTGCCACTTGGCCCTCGCGACAATAAGGTTCTTGAATTATCAAGAAATCTAAGTTATATTGAATAGCATGCTGGACTACCTGCGTGGTCGCGGCTACCGCCCGTTGTAAGTTAATTTGTATCATTGGTACAAATGTCTTAGTGATAAGAGGGAAGAATGGCCTAGAATAATTTTTGTAATGTCTTTTAAGAAGTTATAGATTCATATTGAAATACGGCCAAATAAATTAAGACAATAGATTTAAAGTACCAACAGCATTTGGCATTAAAATTAATGAAATATCTTTTTCTTACGGCAGTTTGGGGAAAACTGGAGTTTCTTAGTGAAACCCTTGGCCACCTGGATGGTTAATGAAGATCCCAGGAGTTATTAACCTTTAAAATATAGAAGAGATGATGATAATAATACAAAAGGCAGCAACTAAAGCAGCAAAACTACCTCTTATTGACCACTATTAATGATAGAATGTGATCTTAATATCAACAATAATGTTTCTTGTAGAATTGTTGAGTAGGATCTAAAGAAAAGGTGGATTTGCCTGTTTCAATCCATGTCTCTTGACTATAAAACAGGTAAAACGCTGCATGGGAAAATTAATTTAACATGAAAGGCAGTGATCTCTGTTCATTTAAGTAAATTTTAATTTGTCACTTAAGTTATATTTTGCATCTGAATCTAGTAGCAAAATCATCATTATCTGCATAAGTAAGACTAAGTTCATCTTGGCCCAGAAATTTCAATTTCAGTAGTCTCATTTTTTTTTCATTGACAGAAAATTTAGATTGGAAAGGTGTAATTTTAACTTCATGTTCTAGAACTGTGGTTCTTTTCTCTCTCATATACCCTTGAATAAGACTTTGTAATATAGAGTACCCCTAACCACCGATTTCAGCACCCCCAAACCATAATTCCATAAATTATTATAATCCTCTTTTATTTTAATACCATGAAATTAATAGGTTGTAATAAGTAAGGTCAGAAAAACAATGAAACAAAGATTGATCATTGCATTATATATTTTAAATGTATATAGTGATAACATATATTTGAAACTAAAGCAGTACATTATTAATGTGTTGTAATTGTTTTGAATATCAGCTTTTCTAAAATAAAAATGAAAAAATATGTAATTTGAAGAATTTATTGATTGTTGAGGAGATATATGCCTATATTAAAACCGTTAAGTAGTGTTGCCTCACTGTAATATACTAAACTTATAATCATTTTAAAGGGAATTAATATATAATTTCATACATGCTAAATCTAAAACAAAAATTAAAACTCTTATCTCGAAAGATTCAATGCATTGGTACCCTCAACAACACGCACACACACGCACAAAAAAAAAAAAAAAAAAAAAAAAAAAAAAAAAAAAAAAAAGAGTATTTTTTTATTCTTGCTTACTGTTGATTCAAAAGTCATCAGACATGTCTTTGTTTCTCCAAGAAATTGCATTTTTTGAGAAAAGAATGCTATTAGATTTTTAATATGTTCTTTTTTAAACGTGCACTCAGCAGCATCAAATTTTTAGCAGTTGTTTGGTTTTTACCACTTTCAGCGATAACTTATCGTGTAGGGTGTTTCTTTCGCATTTCATCCTCTATGTTAACTAATAATACATCGTAAGACTCTTTAGGAAAAAATTTATTAATCTATGCATATAATTGGGGTATTTAAATCATGGAACATTAGCAAGGTTTCGTATATCCATTGAATAAAATTTCCTACATGGTGCATAAGGAGGATTTGGGGCTTTCCTTTTCTCTTGTGAGTGAAAATACATATATATAGTATTTAGGATATTTTTTTTTTCTTTTAAGAACCACTGTTTAGACTTTCCTACCTACTAGTCTTACCAGAAGCATTAAAAAGCTAATAGCATTCATCCCAGCCTATCTGGTTTTTTAGAAATGCTTGGTACTGTAGAAATTTTAGTTCTGTGTAAAAATCTACTTTTGAATCTCTTATAACATAACTGTAAAGAAAAACAGCTGCATAACTCATTTTATAATTCTAAACTAAACTCAGTGGCGCAACAGCCCTAGTGGGCCACGGCCTGCTGTGCCCCGAAATCTCCTTTTTCGACCTTGAGTCCCGGAGTGCATCAGCATAAGCCCTGGGCAAGTGCTCAGCTTGTCACGCTGTTTAGTCCCCAAGCGATCATTTTATCGACCCATTCAAGTGATGACAGGCTGAGTCAACCTTGCCCAGTCGGGGATCGACCCCAGACCTGGGGCCACTTCGCCACCGGGTGATCCCATTTGATGATTCACTGTATGTTAAAAATATTATTGGCTTCCAGTCATTTTATTTTATATGACTTGCTATGGCTAAATAGAAAGTGGGTGGCTACGTATGATGAGTAAGGAACTGAGCAGTATAAATGATGTTGGCGGGATAATTTACAATTAATTACATTATTTTTCATACATACTTTGTTCAGTGATAGTCACTTTCCTTTTTTTTTTTTCTTTTTATTTTCCACTTTCCCTTTTCAAACTTACTTTCCTTTTTATTCAATCACAGATTTAAACTTTTTAACACTTTTTTATCACTATTCATTATAATACTTTATTTTCCACTATTACTGTTAATTTTTTCAAGTATCCATTATCAAAGCTGTCGCATACCACAAGTTAGCAACTGCTTTTCCGTAAAGTAGCAATGGACTGATTTCCAAAAAGAATTTCATCCGCCATGTCAAGATAGCTGGGTTAAATAGCTTGTTTTGTTTTATGATAAAAGTAAATCATACAATATAAATATTAATTTTAAATGCTTTTTTTATTTTTGTAGTTTGGTGCAGAAAGTATAATCATTCTTAATCATCCCCCATACTTGCTGGATTTGGCTATTTTCTGTTTGAATTATTTAATTTCCAAACACTGAAAATTTATTCTAATTTTTGTGTGTGTGTGTGTGTTTTTCCCCTTAAGTTTATGTGATAAATATCAGAAATATGTATTAAACTGGACTTTTAAAAATCATAGTTTTCAGTACTTCTGCTTTTGTAAATGATAGGAAATAACAAATAAATATTTTTAGTTTAAGAGCTTTAGTTCCTATATTAACAATGTGATCACTGTCATTTTAGTGAGCCTTTTTTTCTTTTTAATGATGAAGTTTTGAATTTTAATGTTTCAAGTAATTTCTAAAAGAATTTTTCATTGCTTTAATCTTTTCAAGCTTTAATCTTAAAAATCAGTAGTCATTGTCTTGTGTGTATTATAATTTCTTTTTCAATTTTATTGCCCTTTTGTGTAGAATTCTCTTCTGAGTGAATTGGAAACAGTAAAAAAATCTTTCTCAGATCTAACAGGAGTTTGTGCCAGTCATGAAAGACAAATAGAGGAACTTACGGATTCATATCAAAAAGCAAAATCAAAGGCTGAACAGGTATGCATTGTTGTTAATTGAGAAGTTAGTTGCATGCAAATTTATTTAGAATATTCTGTATTTAATTGAGCTGTTATATAAAGTACTTTAATTAACCAATTATTATGATTTAAACCCGTATTACAACTTCTCCTTTTGATAGTCCTCACCATAATGCAAATTAGTAGGTTGAGTATCTAAGTTAAGGGTTTTGAATGTTTTAGTTTTAGAGTTTTGGGCAGTCTTGCCTGCAGTTTACATCCTGTCACCAGTTCTTCCAGAAATTATTCCAACTTCAGCCATTTTGCTAGCCTCCGTAAAAACGTGCCATTTAAAAATACTGAGCCAGCATAAATAGGCCAACTTGTGTAGTCTCTGGTAACAATATTTGAATTTGGATTTCAACTTATATTATTTTAAATACCGAGAAGTGGTGGAGGTTATATGAATGCACAAGTGGGTCCTTCTGTTTTATTTAAAGATATAATGAAAATGCTATTTGCAACATTTTTATGACTTTGCCCTACTACTTTTAAATAGTGCAATAATTCACTTGTCAATCAACTAGGATCTGAATGGCATTGATTCATACTTCTACGCAAATAGAACCCTATAACTTAAGATTGTGAAATTTGTTGGTGTTCTATTATTTTTTCAACTTATCCAAAGTTATAGGGGGGCCTTTTTTATTTGTTTAAAGTCATTCAAATTTAGTGTGTAAAATTAATTTGTTCAAAGAATAGTTTATATGTATATATGTTATGCAAAATAAATTAAAAATATGTTTAAAATCTATTCCATATTCAGTCTGGAACAAATAATATGCAAAATAAAACATTAGAAGCATTGTGGCAAACTGCATGATTGGCATAAAATTGCCAAAATCAGAAATGAAAAGGAAAAATGAAATTTATATCTTTCATTGCATGGATGGTGCAACAACAGAAGTAAGTACATACCAGTCTGTTAAACTAAAGTTTAATGAATAATCTCAGAGGCTGTAGTAAGTAGTGGTATGATGCAGTAAGAGTCAATTTGATTAGGTTTAAACTGCTTTTTACTTGTGTGTGTGTATGTGTGTATAGAAGATGTAAAAGTATGAAGAACAATTTATTACCAAATTAAACTTAATTGGAACAGTCCTTTAAATTCTTAAGATGTAATGGCGTATCTAAAAGTGTGGGATGTATTTAGCACCACTAGATGAAGTAGAATTAATAGAACTGTTAGTAGAACTGTTGTTCAGAGGCTCGTATGCACAGTAAAGAATCCATCGATTTAAGACAACACACTTTATTTAAACAAGACAACACAATAACGAATAAAAAGAGTACACAGCATATAACATATCATTATCTCTGTACGCTCGAATGACGGACATGTCAGAAAAAGAGACAGCTGCACCTTCATAATTAATATGCATGCACATAAGAAAAAAAGTTTGCTCGCTTCCACCCAACATCCCCATCCTGTGAGCAACACTTTTTCAATACAAAAATGAAATACAAACAAACAATATATAACACATTACATTAAGAAATAAGGGAAATTATTTTCAAGGTATATATTAATTTTTCTTCACTGACACTCTTAGTAAGATTATCAGTTTGCGAATGTTCCACTTTAATGACATTGTCTTTCACTGAGTCCTTCATAAAATGGAAACATAAGTTCATGTGTCTGGATTTTGTAGAAGATCTGGCACAGTTGATCCACTGGATAGCAGCTTCACTGTCTTTATTCAAAAGTTGAAGAGCGAAATCACTTTCTCTTTGATCAGAATAAAATGAAATGTTCACACTTGTAAGTTGCGACTTCTTTCTTTCTTTGTTAGTTTTGGATAACTCACTTTTTGGATTTGTGTTTCTGTAGTAGCAATCTTCCGTGATGTGACCAGGCCATTGGAAATGTAGCAAATTCTTGGATTATAGTTTTTATTTCTCCTTGATATGAATGCCTCAGCGTTGGTTTCGTCAGGTCATTTCCTGTCCGTTGAACTGTATGTAAACTCTTCCTCATGGAGTATTTCGAGCATTTCATTAATTGTTTTTTCATGCTGAGTTTTGTAAATTTCCCTAATTCAAGAAAATTTTCCACAAAGTTCACGGACTGTGTAAAACACCAATTCCTGAGGAGATACTTCTAGTCCTAGTGATTGGCACTTAGTTGCTATTCCTCTCACTTTTGTAATATAATCATTACCCGACTCATGCAACTTCATTTCTAAGTTTTTAACTTATTACCGGCATCTATTTTTCGATCTTCGGCTTGTCCCTTAAATGTTGATTTTATTTTCTCCCAAAGTATTTTTGCATTCTCTTCTGTGGAGAACTGAAATGCCTGTTGATCCGATAGTAAAAATTTTATATACACTACGGTGTCAGCTTTTTTCTCATTCCATAATCTTTCATCTTTCTTGTCTAAGTTTTCTGGTTTTATAGTCAAAATTACTGAGTCAAGTCTTTTCAATGCCCAAATAAAATAGTTCTCCCCAGTTAATTCAGGAAAAATCCACTTCTCCATTTCTAGCTACCATCGAGACAGTTTCAGTTTCTACTTGGTATTTTACATCCAATTCTTCTTGATATAACTACGCTGTGCATTTGTTGTTCAGAGGCTCAGGACGACATTCTTTATACAAGCAAATAACTTTATACAAACACCTTAAACAAATAACTAATAAAAAGAGCACACAGTAAATCATATTGACCATCACACAGCATATTAGCATATCACCATCTACGTACACTCGAATGACAGATGTAGAAGAGACAGCTGCGCCAGCATAATTAGTATGCATGTGCATAAGAAAAAAAGTTCGCTTGCCTCCACCCAACAAGAATTCTAGAACAATTAAAAAGATATGTACTAAGAAATTCATCATAAAAAAATAGATTATGTTTAACTACCAAGCTGCTCTTGTTTCTTCCAAAATTTTATCTGGTTATTCAGTACATTGTAATTTCCAATAATTTGCACAGTAGTGTTTTTCATCTGTCAGGAAAAAGTGAATTGGTGCCTTCTGTAATTAAGCTGTCATCTAATATCAAGTTATCTTCAATAAAATAGATCACCTGTCTCTATCTCTCATACACATTTATACATATAGCAGAAATACGGACTTTCAAAACAAAAGTCCAGTACTATAAAGTAGCTGAGATTATAAAAAAATAATGTAATTTAAGCTAATAAATCACTGCTTACTAGGCCGTGTTATAGAAAAACTTCCTGTTTAATGAATAAAGATTATAATTCATAATATAAATTTTGGTGAAAATGCCTTGCCCTTCTGTAACCACATGTAAAAGGTGAGTGCCTAAAAATTTAAATTTGATTTAAAAATGTAAAAATGATTGATATAACAGTTAAAAACACTTCCAAGAGACTCATCAGGGGGTATATTCATCTTCATTACAATCAATTATTATCCTCTAAAATCATTCATGTTATTTCTGTAAAATAATTTCTGAAATCATTCATGATAGTTATAAGTCATCCTAATTTTGTATTTATATTAAGGATGTTTTCAAAAATCAGAAACTATGCCTGTACACTTTTTCAGAATCCTCAGTTATGTATTGATTAATGAATTTATAACAAATTTTTCAATTTAAAGCTGAATGGGATTACTAAAAGTTATGAATTTGTAAATGTCATTAAAAAAAAAATAATCAAACAAAGGAGATGTGACAAAAAGTGCTGTATAAAGCAAAAGTACAAAATACTAAAAAACAATTACAATAAAATTAATACCATATCTATACAATCTAGAACTAAAAGTCATGTCAAATTTTTACTGAGAAATGGTGTAATTATCTACCATTCATTGTTTCAAAAGCATGTGACTATTAATGCTTCAATTTCAAGCAGAAATGGATTGCCTATGGAATAACAGTTTGCAAGAAAAATCTGCGAGAAAATGTTCAGGTGTGAACTGTAATTTTTGAAATGATGAAACATTAAGCATGTTCTGACAAGAAAGTTATGAAAAACAAAGAAAGGTATTAGAGCAGTATAAAATCTGTACAGTGCTGTGTGTGACTGCATAGTGTCTAACGAAAACTGAAATTGACCTGTTAGTCAAAGTTGCCAAAAGACTATTTTATATACATAAGTACATAATTATAAATCTAGAAAGTTGTGAATCCCCCTCTAGTAACTGTAAAATTATAGGGTGTAATTAATGCCAGCTTTTTTTATGATAGATATTATTGAAATCATTAGGAATATTATAAGCAAGTATTTTGTTTATGTAATATATTTTTTAATTATATTTACATTATTTTGTCTTGGAGGTGAGAAAATTTCTGTACAAATATTTCAATTCCAATAAGCTGATTAAAAATAATATTTCATATTACTTTTTTGAAAATGTAACACCAGTTAATTATTTTATTGGTGTCAAAATGAAAAATATCTTCTTTTATCATGAAGTTTAACTTCATTGTAATTGAGAATGTTTAAATCAAGATTTTCACCAACATTTATTTCTATTATGAATCAGATTTCATTTGCCATATTTTCATCTTAAACTATTGAATTTTAATTTTTTGTGAAACATATCCTGGTGAGTAGTGATTTACTAGCTTAAATTGTGTATTTATACATGTGTATACAAGGCTATGTATTAACCCTTTGACGCACGTTGGTCGTGCCCTGAAACCACTAATTTTCGAATTTTTTGAATGAAATTCAATTAATTACTGATCTTTTACCTCTAAATAACACAAAATGACTGTAGAATCATACATGTTTTAAGTCTTAGTAACGGATGCCTTTTAAAATCCGTTTTCAATTACACAAAATAACGTCCTTTTATTAATATAAACAACTTTAAATTTCAAAAGTTATTCATCCAATATCATGATTTCTATCATGAACAATAAAAAATTGCAATAATTAAAATGCATATATAAAAAAAAAACCTATCTATATTTATGGCATTTGCTTTGTGGTTTCAGGGCACGACGTCATAATGCTCACAATGCTCTAGAGCTGGGGGTCGCTGGACCTGCAGCAGG